GGTTTGGCTTGCCATAGCCTTGGTAGACATCTGGGAACATCACATCTGTAGCGTCGGAAGCCAAACTCGAACAGGAGACAACACCACTAGCCGGCAGTGTACCCATTCTCCGTTGGAGAGAATCTCCACTGTGAATTATTAGCGCCTTCAAGAGCGAAGCAGGCACCGTTTTCATGGCATACGCTGGGTTCTTGGTCCCATTCTTCCACCAGCCGTCTCGGAGCCACTCATAAAGAAGTACAGCGACACCAGTGATCACCGGCGTGGCCTGTGACGTGCCCTGGAGTGAGCACGTGGCTGAACTCTCTTTAGTAGATCCCGGTGCTTCTGATTGACTAGACAAGAGGCTCATACCCGGCGCAACAACATCCGGCTTTAACCTCCCGTCCGTTGTGGGCCCTGCAGAGGAAAACGATGCAACTGTGCGCTCATTGAATACATCAGGGCACCCAAAGTCCGTGAAAGAAGCTGCAGAGTTCAGCGATGCGCCAACCGAAATTACGTTTTTGGCACCGGATGGAGATGAAATGGTGCGCTGACCAGTGGTCGAAGACTCGCCACTGTTGCCTGCCGCCACAACCACCAGGACGTCTGGGTTTTCGTAAATAAAAGCGTCCAAATCTCTGGCTTGTGAGCTGTAATCCGACCCAGGTGTGCCCCACGAGAATGAGAAAATCTTGGCACCAGCGTCAATTTGACTCTCTAGCAAGTCGCTGGCGTCTGCAGGTGTGGCTAGTGACACGGCACAATGCAGCTGACCTGTGCAGGTTTCGCTCTGGGTCCCGATGTCCATAAATGCTATCCGTGCCTTGTCGGCAATGCCAAGATTGGCATGTTTACCGCTAAACGAGCTGCCAGCTAACAGCCCAGCGACGTGAGTACCGTGGCCACAAGTGATAGTTTCGGCTTCATCCGCTTTGTTTGCCCAGCCATTGTACATGACGACTTTGCGCGCCGATAGCTTAATACTTACGAAAATATCGCGTTCATCTTGATCGAATTGGTCGTGGTACAGATACAATCCCGTGTCCGTGATGCCCACAACTACGTCGTTTCCTCGAATACCGGCCTCTCTGGCTGAATCAACACCCACTAGACTTGGCACGTACGCATCCAGCCGTCGATGACTCTGCATCCGTGTCCAACGCTCCTCCTCTTCACCCCGTAACAAATTCTGTGTGATCTCTTGACGTTCGTCCACCCACTCGACCGAGCTATCAACCACAACAAGCGCAACAATAATCGTCCACGTCCTCAGATCCTGCAGTGGCTTGGTAAAAATCGATTTCGGCTGTAAAGGGTTTGTTTCGAACGC